AATACACCTACACTGTGTTAAACAAAACAGATTTACGCCAACTGAGAGTTCAATAGGAGTGTCATACATTATTAAAAGTTTATACATTGATTTACAGGGCCAGATTTTTCTGCTGACATGCTTTCAGTGCAGGGGGAAAAAAATCAATGGAGCTACCTTGGCAGAGAACCTGACCCATTTGCATTTAATGGGGATTTTAAAATAATCCCACACTTAAAGAAACAGCTTTCACTTGAACACGTCTGGGCTATGAGTAATAAATCACTTAACATAGTTTTTTTTTGTTAAATGGTTTTAAAAGCTTGCAAGATTCCAGTGAAATCAGCAAGAACAGCACACAAGATTGTCAGAGGGGGAATCTTTTTGTGGCCTTTATATTAAAGGTGAATGTCTGACTCGCAAATGCAGCCATGGTCCCTTGATCACTCGAAGTACACCGGGAGTCAATTAAATCTGTGAAATCTCTCCACCCTAAAGAACCTTGTTTGAACATGAAAGTCACTCCTTCTACGGCACCATGGGGAGGAAACATACTGGGGGCCCCTTTGCCAGCAACCTGTAGTCACTGCAAGCCCAGCAAACGGAGTTTCAAGGACACCCTGCAGGCCACACCATCAGCTCTGCCAGAGCTCAGTGGATTTCCAGGGCTTTCCCATCAACCTCTAAAAAGGCACAGGCTCAGAGCTTGTCCAAGCAACTCATACCTGGGATGAGAATCGCTCCGTTTCTCACATGTTGCTTGGCAGCTCAGACTTGATCCCAGTCTAACGAGAGTTTGCCTTTGCCTCTGGCTCCTATTCTTGCCCAGACTAACTACACCTCTCCTCTGGCCCCCGACACCGAGGATTCAGCTCCTGCCAAAGGTTACTCTCCATGCCCACAGTTAGTACCAATGGGTTGGTAGCCCTCTGTGCCCCACACCTGGCTGGCACAGCACACCCCGCAGGGACAGGTAGACACTCAATGGGTGACTGAGCACACACACGTGAGCCAGCCTGAAGATTTGTTTTCTTCCAAACAGGAACATCTTTTAGGAACTTATTCCCCTCCCCCCACATCGATATACAAGAAAACTAAACCCAGCAGACACCGGGAATTTTTTTAAAATGAATTTGTAAGCTTGAATGAGAGACTGGGCTGTTGTGATGTCCAAAGGGACAGGGTTCACCAACAGTCACTACTTTGTGAAGCAATTTGGCTGAAGGAATCCTTATTGATTTCCCATAACCCTCAGCTCAGCTGCTGCTGAAGGACTTTAACTATAGAAGCAACTTAATTGTGCAGTCTCTGATTTTCGGTTAGACACTTACAAAAAAGCACAAAATCAATAAACGTTTCCCAACTTATTAAGTCACTGTGACAGCTGAGGTCATTAACTACACAGCACAGAAAGCAAGTGCATTTTGCTCGTGCCAGTAATAGTCCCAATATTGCAAAAATCAGTCTTGCACCTTAAAGATGTACAGATTTATTACAGCATACACTTCCCCAGACTAGTTTTCCTATATATTAGCAGGACCAGCCAAAGCAGAGAGGCAGACTAAGCAAACACAACAAGACTGAAACAACAGTACAGAAAACTACCTTTTCACATCTGCATATGTGGAACTAGTCACCAGAATATGGGGTGGTGGCCACTGGCTCAGACAGCTTTGGTGTAGTGGTTAAGAGCGCAGACTCTAACCTGAGAGAACTGGGCTTGATTCCCCACTCCTCCACATGCAGCTGCTGGTGTGACCTTGGGTCAGTCACAAGTTTTTTCAGAGCTCTTCTCTCAAGGGCAGTTCTTGAGACAGCTCTCTCAGCCTCACCTACCTCACAGGGTGTCTGTTATGCGGAGGGGAAGGGAAAGGAATTGTAAGCCACTCTGAGATTCCTTCGGGTAGTGAAGGGCAGGGTATAAATCCAATCTCCTCTTCTTCTTCCTTACAAAGGGGATTAGACAAATTCATGGAGGAGAGTTCTACTAATGGCTCAATGCAAAAGCATGGTGGTCAGAGATAATATGTACATGAACACACGAAGCTGCCTTATATTGAGTCAGAATGCTGGTGCATCAACATCAGTATTGTCCATTCAGACTGAGAGCAGCTATCCAGGGTCTCAGGTCAAGGTCTTTCACACTACCTACTGCCGAATCCTTTCAACTGGAGATGCCAGGGATTGAACCTACAACCTTCTGCATACGAAGCAGATGCTCTTCCACTGAGCCACAGCCCCTCCCATAACTGTGTATACCACATGTTTCCTGTCTCATTACCAATGCTGATTTCTCCATGCCTATTAGCCCTCTGCATATCTGACCTAAATCCAATCACACCTGCTATTGTCATTCACTTGCTATTATTACTTGCCAGCTAATGTCATTCAGCATCTGAAATCACTCCACTTCCCAATAAACAAAACAGATGGACTTCGATTCTAACCGCATCTGAAGACGTGAGCAGTGACTCATGAAAGCTCATACTCTGTCATGTATTTTGTTAGTCTTTAAGGAGCTACTGGACTCTTGCTTTTTTCTACTGTGTATACCAGGTGCAGAATATGTATTCACCTGTTGAGTTTCTATCCCCTACTCCTGAGTTTTACACACATCACTGGTGAGCTTCTGCTAGATGCTCGACTAGCTAGATCCTCGGTTTTGTAAGGCACTTAGTTTCTTAAAAAAACAAGCTCAAGGTATCAAAAATATTATTCCACAGTGCAGGTATTATTATCCCCACAGTCACTTTCACTTGTGGTAGCTATACCTCAACCATTACAATGCAAAAGGAGCCATCTTACAAAGCTGAATAAATCTGTCTCTCTCAGAGAGATGGAAAAATTCAGCAGAAGCCGGTGCCTGGCTGCCTACAACCCATGAGATAATCAACAAGGCTTCTGATACAAGAGAAAGGCTACAGTAGGAAATCCATACAGGGCTGCAGTGGTACCCACAGTGTTCCATAACATTCTAGCCCGAAGCCACCCAGATTAGGAGATAGTTGTGAAACCGTTCTTTATCATTCAATTGGTTGTTGCTGTGATGCAGGTCCAAGAGGTCTGGTCACCAGTCCTCTCCCCACACATATCACTAGTAGTAAACTAGCATGTTTCTGTGTGCTCATCCATCGTGTCCACATTTGTCTGAAGCTTTGGGAGTCACAAGCACCTCCAGGCAAATTCCTCTCATTTAATTCTTCTTAATTACCATTGTATGTATTAAATTGTTGTAACCCGCCCTGAGCCCGTTTATGGGATGGGCGGGATATAAATGTGAATAAATTTTAAAAAATAAAAATTAAAACTTTTTTTTTGGGGGGGTGTCTTTAAATGTTGAGTTTGACTGCAGTAATGTAAGGAGAGTGATAGGGGGAGATGAGTGTGCGGTGACTGGTTGATGACGGAGAGTGTGGGAGGAGGGGTGTTTGGGAGGAATCTGTGTGTGTCTATGAGGAGATTCTGTGATATGAGAAAGACAAGTATGGTAGAGTTTTGAAGAGAGTCTGTGTGACTCTGAGAATTATGAAGGATTCTGTGTGTGAAGCCTGAAGAGAGAACATAGTCTGCGTGACTATGGAATTCTGATTCTATTCTGATTCTATTCCGTGATTCTATTCCGTGTGAATAAAACAAAGAGACTAGCCTGTCAGAGTGGAGTTTGGGGTTTGAGAGACTGTTTGTAGCACCAAGCTTTGCCAGTTAGTATATTTACAAGTTCCTTTCATCAGCAGCTGTTCAAAATAACCAGAAACCTATTTTGTTCTTTATTAAATAAATCAATTTTTGTTCAAAATTATCCCAGAAATCAGTACAGTACTTCCTCAGGGCCACATAGTCCTCTGAAGTGTCCAGACCCTAGGTCATACTACCAAAAGAGAGAGATTTGGGGGTTTTAATTCTTGGTGGCAACAGGAAACTACCAAGTTTATATACACAGAGAGTGTTTAAAGGTAAAACCTTTTTCCCTATAAGCAAGGACGTCACAACCAAAGTCATAAACAGCGAGCCATCACACTCTCATAGGGAAGCCTGAAGGTTACTACCTGAATTACAACTTGATTTTACTACAGCTACCAAAAAATTAGCCACCTGCAAAATTACTTGTTTATCTTCATCTCTTAGTAACCAAGAAGATGTCGCTTCTCGAGAAACAGTCCTGCTTAAAAATCAATTCAGCTCACACTTGAAAATTCGGGGCAATCCAAAAGAATATGATCTGCAGCATCAATTTGGTTAGTATCACATCCACAGAATCTATTATGGAATACTATTAAACCTTGCTAACAATAATGCTGCTGGCAAAGCATTCAAATGTGCAAGTACAAACTTTGGAAGCAATAATTCAAACTATACTTTGGAAGCAACAATTCAAGCAGGTAGCTTGAATTTAATTCATTTAACCACTTTTTAACTCTCAGACAACAGTCTCTCCAGCACTGAACTTACTGTAGTTGCAAACCCAACTGTTCAATGGATTAACTTATGCAGAACTCCCTTGAATCTAATCAAGACTTTTGCCTAAATCTAATAGTTCCATGTTGCACAGCAACTAACACATTCTGTCAGAAACCAGCATTGCATCCTTAATCCCAGTCACTTGGTAATGTGCTGAAGGTTAATAACTCATTTTGTTCTTCTCAATGGTTAAACTAACAGAACATGATGAACCAAAATATTCGATGTTCAGTTATGGAAAACCTCTTCTGGTCAAAGGAAATATGGAAAAACAGTCCATCTTCATCATGGGGATTACTTAGAAATAAAGAATGAAGAAAGCACAGCCAAGTAGAAAGGAAGAAACAGAAACCTTTAACCTGAAGATGCCTTCCTCATAAAGTGGACCAGGATTTATGTGGGGTTAACAGCACCTTATCTCTAATGTCACAGATTATAATGAATCATGTACATACAGAAGTCAGTTCATGCAGCTGGGCTTTTGCGCTGAGCTTTTGTACAACAATATAAGGCCCCTTTTGAACACGGAACTGCCTACTTACCGTTTTGAGAGAGGAAGGAACTGGTTTCTTTGAGCACACGGTCAATTCCCCATTTCTCTGCTGCTGATAAACTTCTAAAGCGTCCACTAACTGCGCTCCTTTGGCTAGTCGATTTCGTTTCCTAGCCTGTAGGAAAAACCACACACTTGCAAGCTTGGTAGACGGAAATACTCAGGAGCAGAACTTGACTACTTTAAGACATCATGCTTTTTTAACCTTCTTACATTCAGGGAACATTCTGTACACTGATTCCTCTGCCGATGAAACTCTGCATTTCTGCCATGGAACCACAGAAGATGCAGGGACATTTTCTAGGGCACATACTCAGCTCACGGAGAGCACTAGCCTGGCCTGCTGAGCCTCACCATTGGCTTTAATGAACTGAGAATGCACCCAAGACACTTTATGGTTGCCCAGCACAGGGGAAGATTGGTAGTGGTGAGCAGGTTGGTTTTCACGGAAGCTTGTCAATTATTACTATGTTCTCATTGAGAGACCACTGATAAATCAGCTAAGGATCCTGAAAGGGTAGACTACAGGATCTTTTGATCTCTGCAATCAACTTTTAAAAAATCTTCCATGGCATTAAATCTGCTATTTCAGGAGCAGTTTACAAAGATAAACATCAAAATAAATTAACTGCCATTGTCTATTTGAAATATCAGAATTTCCAAAGGAGACACAACCTTCAATGCTTTTCGAAAACCATCTTGTCACATATCAAGTGTTTAACAAACTGGATCCCCAGGAGCAATTATCTAGAAAGTTGTGAACGCGGGGGGGGGGGGGGTTACAACGAAGAGCTTTGAGATATTATTACAATAGAATATTTAAAAAGGAGTCTTTTCCCAACCGTGACTGGAAGATCTTGTTTACTCTTTTATTTCACACTTCTGTCACTGTCAAAAAGGCAATTATTTTGAGATTCTGACAATATGTAAGCATATGCATAGTTAAATGATTAAAAGGCAATTAATAAAGTTATCTCTTAACAGTAGGAAGCCTAGAGAATAATAATAATAGATTGGATTTATACCCCGCTCTACATACCCGAAGGAATCTCAGACCGATTTACAATCTCCTTTCCCTTCCCCTCCCCACAACAGACACCCTGTGAGGTAGGTGGGGCTGTAAGAGCTTTCTCCTTGAGAACAGCTCTGAGAGAACTGTGACTGACCCAAGGTCACACCAGCAGCTGCATGTGGAGTGGGGAATCAAACCCGGTTCTCTCAGATTACAGTCCACACTCCTAACCACTACACCAAACTGGCTAGAAATAGTTTGAATGATATGTGCCAGTAATCAATCCCTGTGGCATGTAATGCACTGCCATGCAAGCAGTAGGCTTCATTGGGAGAAATGGCAAATGTTAAAACAGCGGTCAACAGTCCAATTCGGGTGCACATTTTCAGCCAAAATACCAGTGGATAACCGGGAAGCCTCATTCAGCTAAGTGTGGATTACTTTTACTAGCTCAGAACTGTACTTACCTGTTCCTCTGTTTCTAGTGAACGAATTCTTTTCCTATCTGCTTTAAAATCATCTTCACCTTCATGTAAAGACGCTTGCTTCTTTGCAGACAGTTTTGAAGAAAGTGTGATTTTTGTGGTCTCTTCTGTAACAGAAACAGAGAAAGTGGAGGAGGGAAAAGCATGTTTTGCTGGAATCTTACGAATTATGATAACCCTCAGATGCTCTAACCCAGAATATCCCCTGTAATACAAAACTCCATATATGAAGTTGCTTTATCCCAAGACTACAGATGTAAGATTTCTGGAAATTTTGAACCCGTGAGAGGAGGGAAAATTTGGGGGGAAATTAAAATTGATCCAGTATTTAATTTCTTATAAAGCTTAGAATTATCCTACTACTTTAGCAAACTAAAACGTATCAGTTACGACTTCGCTCCCGCTTTAGTTTTTAATTCAAATGCTTTAGTTTTCTATAAATTGTAAATGCAGCCAATGTTAGAGAGTTACAAACTCAGCTACCCTAACATATCTATCTTGTGGTGCCATCCTGAGAACACTTTCCTGGGAGTAAACCCCGCTGAACAGTTGAAAATAGAAAATTCAAATTTTGCAATAGTCAAAATAAAGTTTGTTATTTGGACAGAAACAGTGTCACGCAGTCACAACAGGACTAGCAGCACGTTTGGAGACTGGGTTTCATATACATAGTACAGAAAATTAAATTTAGACAAACTTAGTCACATTTAAGCAGTCAATATATCCTCAAAATACTCTGCATGTCTACATTATACACTGAATTTGTCATTCCCTAATGCTGTAGCTTGTCATGTTAAAATCTTCATACTATCCATCTTGAGTGGAAAAAACCTATCTTAAAAACATTTTGCTTAAAAAAAAAAGAAAAAAGAAATATTACATATAACCCCCCCCCCCCCCCATCTTTCCCCACATTTATAATTTTTTTATTGGAAAAACTGAAAAAAGTTCTTAGGGAGAAAAAATTACCCATCAACTTTCCCAGGTTTTCACATCTCTACAAACCATACCATTGGTCCATTTATACAAGACTGTCTATTCTGATAGGCAGATCACCAGAGTCCTGGTCAGAGAGAAAGATCTTTCCTTAAAAAGGTTGGCTACCTCTGATCATTTTTTTAACTGTTGTTGCTTTGGATGGAGCCTGAAGCTCAAAGGGATGTTTCTGCAGATTTCCTTCCTCAAATGAAAGGAAGATGGCAGAACAGCCCTGCCTCCTCCAGGCTAGGGATGTTATCTAGCACTGACCCCCAACTTTACACAGGCACTGATCAAAATGCCCCTGAATTAAATAACTCAAATACAGCTAGTTGCCTATCTTATTTGCCACATGCAACCAGGCAAGTAGTATTTACAAGCCTGCCCCAAAATGCCGAGTGTACCTGTGACAGACTGTCAAGGGTTAATGTCTAACAAAGTCTAAATGACAGGCTGTTCAAACAGAATTCTTTGAAGAGACCCAGTTAAGAAACTACAGCTGGGAACTGACAGCTGAAGAAGAGACAGTTAAGCACTGACTGTGGACTGGGAAGAAGGCAAAAGGAGTGAGAGGATCAGAGAGAAACCACATTCAAGCCAAAAAGGGAAATTGCTTCTAGAGAAGTTAAGAGAAGTAATCTCTGCCCAGTGAAAAGGGAAATAGCTCTTAAAAGAGGAGTGATCCCTGGTCTGTGTATATAGAAGGATTTGGAGAACTTGGTTGCATGTTCCTGCCTTCTAGACTTTAAGAGTCAGTGAAACTCAGAAACCTATGCTTGAGTGTTTAAGCAGAAACTGAGAAGAAAGCATCTCTCCTCAAAGTTTTAAAAGATCTTTTTGAATAGCAGAAACACTTACTTGTTGGCAACAAATTATCTGGAGTTAGTGTGATTACAAAGTTATCCCAGTTTTATTATCAGTTCACCTCATACAGCCTACCCCTGATTCCACCTGCCCTTAACTCCTCTAAGTTAAATAGAACATTTTGTTTATTTTGAACTTTCAAAAGCCTCTTGTGTGACCTTTCAGAAGTTGAATACAAGAAGGTGATTTTGTCTCTTCCTTCAGTTCCCTGGGCTGGGCCAGCATCAAAATGTATATAATTAAAGCAATTGGGTGGGACAGCCATAGACAAACAAATAAGAAGAAAATAGATATAGGGGCTGATCAGCAAGAAAGAAGGGAAAAAGGGAAAATCCTGCATGTGAAGAGAGTGAGGTCACCATAGTGCCCTTTAAGGCCAGCCATCAAGAAATGATTAGAAAACTACCTCCATTTCTCAGCGTGGTTCCACTACTCAGGGGCCTGTTGGTTCCGTTGTCGGTGAAGTAAGAGCAACTGCCTTGGTTCGACCCTGCACTGCTCTGGTCCTGAACTCTGGGTTCTGCATGACAATTACAGCAACACCGCATCACGGGCTCCGACGTCTTGCATTCCTTTAAGCATGACCACTCACTGGGTGGCTTTTCTGAAGAGCAAACAGAAGATTGTTTAAGTTCGTTTTTAAAAGGAACCACAGGGTAAAGTTGAGGTTTTTTGGCACATCTAACTCGTTTTGTCAGAATTGTAACAAATCAAGTGAAACGTTGAAAACGCAGCTCATTTCATTACAAAATAACCCACAGATGACGGGCCTGTGGCAGATCAGAGATTGCCTGGACCCCCTCCATCTCCGTTGCCCACTGAACACCTCAGATATAGAGGCGGGAAGGTTCACATGCCACTGGCCTCCTATTCCCCTCTCCACATCAAGCACAGACATTAATGCAGGGTTTATAGCGCCACACTGCCTTGGGTACCTTCCCTCCTCAGTTAACCACAACGCACACACACGGTTCGTATCTCTGCAGGGACTGTCCGTCTCCATTCTGTCTCTTGGAGTTGGAGGAAGGGCATGGATACAGCCTATTAGGGTTCTAGTCAATGCTCCCTCTAAGCTGTGGAGTCTTGTGAGCAAAAATTCTACTTTGTGAGCTACTGGCATTAAAGTTGTGAGCAGGTGATTTGGCTACTGCATAAATTAGTTTGCTCTGGAGCCATCCTTCCTGAGCGAAGACAAACTATACCATTGTCCGTTTATACAAGACTGTCTATTCTGGAGGCTAAAAAACTGAGCTAGCTCACATTAACTCAGTTTAGAGGGAACACTGGTTCCAGTCCAGGCTGAAAGTTTGTTACCATAACATGTTATATTTATAAGAAACACAATAGAAATGTTCCTTCCATAGCAGTATGTATGGAGTGAAACAACAAGAAGAAGAAATTGGATTTATACCCCACCCTTCACTTGGAGTCTCAGAGTGCCTTACAAACTCCTTTCCCTTCCCCTCCCCACAACAGACACCCTGTGAGGTAGGTGGGGCTGAGAGAACTCTGACACAAACGGCTCTTTCAGGAACAGCTGTGCCAGAGCTTGTGACTGACCCAAGGTCACATCAGCAGATGCAAGTGGAGGAGTGGGGAATCAAACCCAGTTCTCCCAGATTAGAGTCCGCACACTTAACCACTACACCAAACTGGCTCTCTTGTGTGATTATGTGTGATTATGTGAGGGAGACATGTTTTATGTTTGTACTGAACCCAGAGAAATTCTGTATGGGACCTGGCCTCCACCTCAGCTGTGTACTGACTCCCTTGGCAGCACAAACGCCATGGAGGTGGCCAGGAAGAAGAAGAGAAGATTGGATTTATACCCCGCCCTTCACTCGGAGTCTCAGAGCAGCTTACAATCTCCTCCCCTTCCCCTCCTCACAACAGACACCCTGCGAGGTAGGTGGGGCGGAGAGAGTTCTGAGAGAACAGCTCTGAGAGAGCTGTGACTGACCCACGGTCACCCAGCAGGCTTCATGTGGAGGAGTCAGGAATCAAACCCGGTTCTCCAGATTAGAGTCCACCACTCTTAACCACTAAACCAAGCTGGCTCTCTTCTCATCTGAGCCAAGCCAAACCCTAGAACGAGATTATTAGCAATCAGGGCTGCAACCTTGTGCACTTTTTCCTAAGACAAAGCACTCAATCCCTTACTAGGGATCAGTGCCCTAGGAAAAAGCAAAGTAGTGTGACTTTTTACCCTTCTACTGCAAAATTTCTCTGAAAAGGATGTTATACGGATGTTTGGTCAGCACTGTTAAGATGCATGATGGCCCATTCACACGCGAGTTATCAAGTGGCGGGCACACATATAAGAACCAGCCTCAAATGCTGAGTTACCTTACTAAGTGATGACCAGTGAAGGGTGGACATGCATGAACCAGCCCGTGGTTACCAATCACTGTGACCTTACTTGACCTCACATTCATTAGCAGGTAGGGTCTCTCTCACTCAGTTCATCATTCTTTTCTGCCTAGGTACCCCAATGTCCTTCTGAATAGCATACCAAGCCCCAGGACAGAACTAACAAATGACAGTCAACAACAACTTGGATAATGTACAAACAACACCCCTTAAAGACTCTGATACAGTCCAATTCATTGCACTGCAGAACCACACCACTTCCTTCCAACAGGGTGACCAGATGCAAGAGAGGAGGACAGGACTCCTGTTATTGCAATGAAAATTTTCAACCGTTGTGGCTTGTCACGCAGGGGAGAAAAAAGCTGCACCGACTGAAATGCCTCTGCTATTCAGATACTAAAGGGAGAGAAGCACAGCTATTTCTTCACATCTTTTCAACCATTCAAATGCCCTGCCATCAGATACTGTCACCTTCACTGACCAAAAGGCATCAGAGTACAGACTAAGAGGACATGACCAGGCTTCGTCCCTGGTATCATCCTTGCAATCCCTGTTCTGGTTGCAACTGCTATTTAAGAGCCACAGCCACGAAATACAAGGCCTTCTCTGTGGTGGTACCTTGGTTGTAGAACATCCTCTGTATAGGATGTTTGGCTGGAACTTTTGGCTCCAACTTAAAAGTTTCTTTTATAAACCTGGGCTTTCTGTTGAATGTGTTTGGCCGCCCATTTAATGCCACTTTGAATTGTGGCAGCTGTTTGTATATCGTGCAACATTTTAAGCAGGATATCTTGTCGCTGTTCATTTGTTAACAGCACTGAAGTTTCAAACTGATTATTTTGCAGCCTCTGTTTTGATATTCCCTTTCTAAAATTGCTTCTATTACTTTGGAAGCAGATTTACTAATTATATTTCAACAGCAGTAATTGTACGTGCATTTGATATTATTTTAATGTTTTTTTCCCAAGCAGCTCTGAAACTCCTCTGAACTGAGGCTTAGAAATAAACAAAATGAATTAATAAAAACCATATTTGTGGGCACACATTTCCAGATCTAGACCTGGACTGTATGTGTGTCTTCCACTGCAGGATTCCTGAGGTCATTAGCAAGAGCAGGGAAAACTGCAGCCCAAGACGACACAGGTCTGATGCCTGAGCAGGGGCAAAAAGCCAGGTTCTTTTTGCTTATACCAGTCCAGGCCAACTCAGAGGAGGATTCAGAGACCTGAATGCACAAAGTCCACAGCAGTCACTGTTAGATCCCAGACTCAGAAATTCCCAGTTCAAGGCACAGGTACGTGTGACTGGATACCATAACAGGAAACGATGCTACAGAATGGCTTACCGTACAGAGACCGTTGCCACGACAATGCTGAGCATAGCAATGCCAAGCTTTTCCCACTTCCTGTGGGGCTCTCCAACAAGCAGTGCTGCTGGGAGTTCAGCCCCTTGACAATCTAGAAAGAAAAAAAATACTATAATGAATACAATGCATGAAGAAGACTTTATTTCATTCTTTTAATTTATTGTTGCTGCTATTCTCTTTTCCAGAAAGGACAAAAATCCTCACACTTCCATCAGAACTTCTTTGGAGAAAAACACACTTTTTTTATCAGTAAACCAGAAACTGGGTGTAGGCAAACTCCATTACAGTCCAAAGAGGATATCGTACAATAAACACGGGCTCCCAAGAAATGTTACAATGAAGACTGCCAATTCAAATCAAAATCTGATTTCTCAGCACAACTTACTGCGTTCATCATAGCCAACTGTGAAGGATAGGCCTTGCAAGGGAAGAGAATTTTCACTCCCCCAATAGTGTACTCGGATACTGTCGAAGCCATAGCCACGCTCCTGCTCTGGAATTCAGATTGACGACTGTATTAAAAAAAGAAGACCATTTTAACTATGCACATGCTACAACAGGTGCCATAGAAGAACTGTACCTTTTTTATCAGTAAACCAGAAACTGGATGTGGGCAAACTCCATTACAGTCCAAAGAGGATATCGTACAATAAACACGGGCTCCCAAGAAATGTTACAATGAAGACTGCCAATTCAAATCAAAATCTGATTTCTCAGCACAACTTACTGCGTTCATCATAGCCAACTGTGAAGGATAGGCCTTGCAAGGGAAGAGAATTTTCACTCCCCCAATAGTGTACTCGGATACTGTCGAAGCCATAGCCATGCTCCTGCTCTGGAATTCAGACTGACGACTGTATTAAAAAAAGGAAGACCATTTTAACTACGCACATGCTACAACAGGTGCCGTAGAAGAACTGTACCCAGAACGAGACAGAAACAAATGGAAACAACCCAGCTGCAAGTAAGAAATTGCATTCCAGATCACTCCTCGGTGTCTTGTGGGTGTATGCCAAGATGGCACAAGTAAACTGGGCTGGTAGAGGTAACAGACATCAGGATTTGGATACGAGACCCCAAATAAGGTTGCTATCTTTTCTTCTAGCTCTGTTCTTACACTTCTAACCGCAGCCTGATATGAAGACATTAAGCAGGCATTCCTAACCTGATGAGTAGAGGCTAAGCAAAAAGTCACTAGCTTACTTCTTCTTCATGTTAGGTTATCATGAAACCCAATCTTCTTCGCCTGTCAGAAGTTCTACCATATCCTGGTGTGAGAGAGCCTTTAAGAACATGATGACCCGAAATATCTGCTTTCCCCTCTTTTATTTTGAATCATCTGGTCTAATGAAGATTTCTGAGGAACATAGTACCACGAAAGGGACAAGAAGGGAAAGGATAATGAAGAGGTGCTGCATAATGTAGATCCCTGGACACATTTTATATTCAGGCAGCTTCAGGATCATCTGCTATGAAGCCATGTTTTAAAAATGCATTTCTGCTTCTGTTTCTTTAGAAGAAAATATATGTTCGTCAACAAGAATTGCTGATCTCATTCGGCCTTCATACTGATCTTAACTAAAGGACGTTTGTTTCAATCAAATCATGGTAAGTATAAAAAGCTAACAGCTGTTTCTATAAAATCACATCCAAGTTTTGAAGGCTAGTGGGGGGGAGCAGAAAACTTCGGGGGGGGAAACATTTCCCCCATTTTTTCTGGGGTCAGGACATCTCCCTCACTATTCTTCCAATGGAAAAAGTGGAAATTTGGGGAGTGCACTGAAGAAAACTTCAATGAAATGCTTTTTAAGGAAAAGGTTTATTTGCTAAAATCATACAGTTTGAGGATGTTTATGTAAGACAATCTACAGCATTAGATAATAATGTACTTATATATTCTAAAAACAACATATTTTCGAGAATATGTTTATTGTTTAAATGTTTATCTTCCTCCACCTGGTGGCGGAAAGTGCCATCAAGCAGCAACCAATTTGTGGTGATCCCATAGCTTTCAAGGCAAGAGACGTCCAGAGATGGTTTGCCAATGCCTCCCTCCGTGTAGCAAGCCTGGACTTCCCTGGTGGTCTACCATGCATATACTAACCAGGACTGACACTGCTTAGCTTCCAAGATCAGGGCCGATTCTGCATCTAGCATTCGCTCCACATTTTCTCAACTGGGAGGAAAAAGTGCAGCTCAAAACCACATTCAAATACCTCACCGTACTGACTGCAAAGTCACCCCTGAATGGCCATAAATCTATGCAGAAGGTACCATAAAACACAATGATCAAAGAAAGCGAAGGTGCCATAAAATCCAGTGATCAAAGAAAGTGAAAGCAGCATGCAATGCAGAGGGGAATTTCTGTTCCAAGGGAGGGAAAAGCCAATGCAGAATCTCTCCAGGTCAGCCTAGGCCACCCAGGGCAGGGGATCTCCTATCTGGTGCAGTGTTCCCTCTGAGTTAATGTGAGCTAGCTCAGTTTTTTTAACCTTCGGCTCACACATTTTTGTCTCAGCTCAGGAAGGATGGCTCCAGAGCAAACTGATTTATGCAGTAGCCAAATCGCCCGCTCACAACTTTAATACCAGTAGCTCACAAAGTAGTATTGTTGCTCACAAGACTCCACAGCTTAGAGGGAGCATTGATCTGGAGTAGTGGTTAAGTGCGCAGACTCTAATTTGGGAGAACCGGGCCTGTTTCCCCACTCCTCCACTTGCAGCTGCTGGATGACCTTGGGCAAGCCATAGTTCTGTCAGGGCTGTTCTCTCAAGGGCAGTTCTTTGGAGAGCTCTCTCAGCCCTGCCTACCTCACAGGGTGTCTGTTGCGGGGAGAGGAAAGAATTTGTAAGCCACTCTGAGACTCCGAGTGAAGGGCGGGGTATGAATCCAATCTCTTATCTCTTCTTATTCTATAGATGTCTAAAACAATGTTCCTATACTATACCTGTACATACACGGGGGGATTGTCTCACAAATCATGCCAAAATTAAGAACAGGGTACAATAGCTACAATAATGTTGCAAATGTATTCTGGGGAACGGAGCCCTGCCTGAAATGGCATCATAGAAGGTCCAGTTTTACCCTGCCTTTCTCCCCTGTGGGGACCCAAAGCAGCTTACTTACACCATTCTCCTCTTCTCCACTTTATCTTCACAACAACCCTGTGAGGCAGGCAGGCAGGCCGGTGTGACCAGCCTCAGGCTGAAAAGACCAAGAGTCCAGGAGCCCCTTCAGGACTCCCAAAATCTGTGGCAGGGGAGGAGCCTTCTGAAGAAGAGAGCTGAAAGCTCCTCCCCTGCCACAGACTTTGGGAGTCTTGAAGGGGCTCCTGGACTCTTAAGCTTTTCTGCAGCTACAGGCAGACTAACTCGGCTGCCCCTCTTGATGCCTGTTTGGTGTAGTGGTTAAGTGCCTGGACCGGTTTGATACCCCACGCCTCCACTTGCACCTGCTGGATGACCTTGGGCAAGCCATAGTTCTGATAAGAGCTGTTCTTGATAAGAGCAGTTTCTGTCAAGAGCTCTCTCAGCCCCACCTGCCTCACAGGGTGTCTGTTGTGGGGAGGGGAAGGGAGAGGAGTTTGTAAGCCGCTGTAAGACTCCTTCGGGTAGTGAAGGGCCATGGGGTATCAATCCCATCTCTTCTTCTCTCTTCTTCTGTGTATAAACCCGCGGGTGCGTGCCACAGACAAGGCGCGTCCACCTTCTTCAGCGACTGTTTTGCGGCCGGTGGGTGCCCGCCCAGAACTCCAAGCGGGGTTTCCCTGTTTTGACTGCACTTAAGGAGAAGAAGGCAGGAGACAAGAGGTTCCTTCCCTTAACCTACGGGGGGGATTCATATCATATCGTGTAGAGACTGTGAGGCGAGGGGGGCGCCTTCCCCGCACCGGCCGCCAGCCTCTCCCCTCCTCCCGCGCTTACCTCCGGAAGCCGAGCGAAAACCGGCCCGGGTCTCTTCAGCGCCGAACGTCCCTTCCCGCCTCGCCGCGCCCCGCCCCTCACATCCCACCCCGCGGAACAGCCAATGGGCAATGAAAGGGGGATCTGCTCGCGACCAATCCACAACTCTCCGGGCTGGGTTAATTTCCCCGCCCTTCTCCATACGGGACTCTCTGCCATCCACCGAGACGCGCCGCAGCCTGGCTTCCGGGTTCCTGTGGTTGCCTAGGTAACCACTTTGCGGCCTGGTAAACATTGCAGCGGCCCGGTCCTGCTTGTCTTCCAAAGAGGGTTGACTGCCTCCAGGTGGTGGCTGGAGACCTCCTGCTATAATACGGTTGCCAGGTCTGGGTTGGGAAATACCTGGAGACTTTGGGGGTGGATAGGGAGAGGGCGGGGTTTGGGGAGGGGGCAGGCGGGGCCTCAATAGGGTCCGATGCCACAG